GCTAATGGAGAGCTAACTTACAGCTAATGGAGAGCTAACTTACAGCTTAATTGAGAGCTAACTTAGAGCTTCATTGAGAGCTAACTTACAGCTTAATTGAGAGCTAACTTACAGCTTAATTGAGAGCTAACTTAGAGCTTCATTGAGAGCTAACTTAGAGCTTCATTGAGAGCTAACTTAGAGCTTCATTGAGAGCTAACTTACAGCTTAATTGAGAGCCAACTTAGAGCTAATGGAGAGCCAACTTACAGCTTAATTGAGAACTAACTTAGAGCTAATGGAGAGCCAACTTACAGCTTAATTGAGAGCTAACTTACAGCTTAATTGAGAGCTAACTTACAGCTAATTGAGAGCTAACTTACAGCTAATGGAGAGCTAACTTACAGCTAATGGAGAGCTAACTTACAGCTAATGGAGAGCTAACTTACAGCTAATGGAGAGCTAACTTAGAGCTTAATTGAGAGCTAACTTACAGCTTAATTGAGAGCTAACTTAGAGCTAATGGAGAGCTAACTTACAGCTTAATTGAGAGCTAACTTAGAGCTAATGGAGAGCTAACTTACAGCTAATTGAGTGTTAAATTACAGCTTAATTGAGAGCTAACTTACAGCTTAATTGAGAGCTAACTTACAGCTAATTGAGAGCTAACTTACAGCTAATTGAGAGCTAACTTACAGATAATTGAGAGCTGACTTACAGCTAATTGAGAGCTAACTTACAGCTATTTGAGAGCTAACTTGCAGTTAATTGAGAGCTAACTTACTGCTACAAAAGTTACAAGTTTTCCTGTAAACGTTAAGAATTGTAAGCTAAAGCTAGGTTTGAGAGCAAATGGTTTCGAACAAAGTAATTCGGTTTCCACTTTCACAATTTTTTTATATAAAAAAAAGTTTAAAATGTTTCAATCTAATCAGCTGAAAAAATAAAATGTTCAAATCAGGCAGAAAAACAGGTAATTTTTCATTCAACCTTTATTTATACAGGTTTGTCCCATTGAGCCTCGGACTCATTTACAAGAGAGACCTGAAATACGATCAATACGTCACACGATCAAAGATGAATCGTTTTAGAGCCCGACTCGGTTTCCAAGTCACGTTTGTGTTTTCATCTTTGATCTTTTTACAAAAGTTATTTTAAAAACTTTCAAACATCAACTGAAGACAAAAAGTGAGCAGCCGACCTGAATCCTGATGAACTTTATTAAAACCAAATAATTCTCGTAATAGTTCGGGGCACCGCAGGTCGTCCTCAACGTCCACCTGGACAACGAAACCTTTCCACACCTGGAGGGGAAAGAGGACATCTGACTAAATCCACTAACAGTACGACCAGAACCAGATCACCAGAACTGGATCAGACATTTGGATGTGAAGGTCCAAATACAAGTTTTTGACAGGAAGGACAGAACTCCAGAACTGGACACAGAAATGCTGCTGTCCCTCAGCTTTACGGTCCAGAAATAATGAGGATTTTCTCCGTCGTCCAGAAATTGCACCTCTAAAGTCCAGAACTTCTCATGATATCCAGCACGGACCGAGGGTCCCGTCCTACTGAACCGTGGGTTCTGGAGCTGCAAGCGAGCTCATGAAGGCCTCGTACTGCTGCGGGTGGCAGCGCTGGTACTCCCGGAGTTTCCTGCGGATCTGTTTGGGCGTGTCCTGGTAGTAGTTCTTCTCATCTTGGGCCATCGCCTGCGGGGACAAGATCAGGACGGGACGTCAACCCGGTAAAAAAAAAAAAACTACAGCAGCAGCGGATTGGTTCTGCTCTTCAGAACAAAGTCTTATAGAGCGACTCTGAGTCACGACTCGTTTACGACGACTCGTTTACGACGACTCGTTTACGACGACTCGTTTGATTCAGTTCGTTTTCTGAGCTCTGAAGTCGGTTCTGGAACTGAAATGGTCGTAACAGAACTCAAAGAACGGACCTGAAGACGCTCGGGAGGAAAATACGAAGCGGATGAAACAGTTCTCTGCAGAAAACGATCAAGATGAAACAAAAATGTTGAAAAGCACAACACCGACCCTTTATTTTCCCACGTCCTTGAAGGCAGCGTTCAGGACCAGGACTGAGGAGGAACTCGGATTTAAAAGTTAAAACGGTTTACTTTTTATTTTTTTTAGGTATTTCACACTTTGAGATGTAGCTCGGTGACCCACATTTGACTCCAGAACCCTTTGGTGTACAGGTGAGTTCTGGTCCACTCTGTGACTGACAGGAGCCCGAACCATCAGCTCTGCACCACCGTGCTGACAGCTGGGAAGAGGTGAATTATGGGTAAAGTTAGATCAAATCTTCCTCCTAAGAGGAATGTGGGCGTCTGGAACCTTCTTAAATTTGTTTCTGTAAATCCTGAGCTGCCTTCGGACCCTGCAGGAGTTCTGACAGAAACTCCTGAGGCTTCGGTTCTGAACATCCAGGTCTAAAACCGATGAGAATCATTTCAGCACCGGTCCAAACCTGCCTACCTTCAGCTCGCTGCAGAGGCGGTTCCGACGTGGGCGATGAAGCAACGTGAACAGTGTCACACGGCCCGCCGCTCGCCCACTGAGAACTCATTCCTCCTGATTTAAGGTCGACAGCTGCGGCCCGTCCAGAAGTTCTGGGACAGCAAATTAATTATTTTGTTTTTGTTCACTGAAGACTTTTGGGTTCAACATCAAAAGACGAGTACGAGACACGAGTTCAGTTTTTACTTCCTGGTACATGGATTCAGACGTGTGCTGCAACTCGGGACATATCCCCGTCAGTGACTAACATTTAATATTTGGTGACGTAACTTCACCAAACTGTTGCTTCTTCATTTGTGCTGCTGCTCCAGCATTTTCAATCTGCTGCTTCGTTAGACGGAGAACGTGACGGACTTTTAGTGCATGTTTCTGTTCAGCGCCCTCAGACTCCTGTTGGGACTTTGAGCTCCAGAAACAAATAAAATACATAAATTAAAAAAAAACGGCTTATTTTAAAACTCCTGACAGAACGTGACCATAAAGTTCAGAGACGTGTAAATCAAAGAGCCGTTTACAACTCGAGGTTCTGAAACGTGCAGCGTTAAGAGCCGAACGCCGGGCGGTACCTTGAAGTCGTCCTTGTGTTCTCGGACCATGTGCTGGACGAACTCGATCAGGTCTGAGGACAGCGTCTTGGTGTCCTTCTGCGGCCGACTGGCCTCCTCCTGCAGTTCTGCTCACAATCACACAAACCTGGTTTTACTTTGAACCGACGGTTCATTTGAATTTATTTAAACGAGGAGATGTTTTACAGCTTTTCACCAAAACGACAAGCTTCAATCTTTTACGTTTTAACTCTGACTTTAATAAAATAACGTTTCAGAATCCGCTGATTTTATTTACATTTTACCAGGTCAACTTTAATGAGCGAGACTTAAAAACTTTACTCTCATTAATAAGCGCTTCTGTTCATAAAACAACTTGATCTATTTCAATAAACCTTATTAAGATAATTATATTTATTAAAACATTTCAAGTATAATTTATTAATTTAACACAGATTATTATTTATAAATGTTTACATCAACTCACTTTTGAGAACGTAGGGTTTGGTGACGATGTGTTCAGGTGCTTTGACGTCTTTGTTTTCTCCCAGAAGCTGCAGGTAAACAACAACAACAACAGGTCAACAAAAAGGGGCACTGCTCAGAATTATGATTTGTTGTTAGTAAAATTAAACAACATAAACAACTTCAACCCACAGCAGAGACGTTAATAAAGAAGTAAAATAATACAAAGTTAATCAGATCAATGACATTTGATAAGATGCAGTTTGACTCCGACGCCTCCTTCTGGATCAAACATGAACTGCTGGGTCCAAACAGAACCTCCAGAACCTTTCAGATATTCTGCAGCGTGACACTCTGCTGTGTTTGGGGCGAGGGTAATTCCTGGATCGGACATGGCTCACCGTCTCCTGTATCGGCACCGACCGGTTCGGGTCAAAGGACAGACCCATCTCCTGCAGGTTCTTGGCCACGGACTTGTTGTCGTCCCAGGCATGCCTGATCTGCGAGCTGAGACGAAGAAACGAGACAAACACACCTGAGTTTACTCCGCTGCACCTGAACGCAGCACAGCAGGAACTGAATGGTAATAAAAGTGGTTTATGTTCAACACTAGAGCTTCAGCTTCACCTCAGACTTTGTGTTTAGATTTTATTCTTGAAACGATTCTTCACAGTAATTTTTATTTAATGCCGACTTGTGATTATTGAGCTTTTTTAGCTGTCCCACTTGTAAAAACTTGTTTATTCATATTTGCTGTGGTTTGAATTTTCTGATTTTCGTCACTACCGACTGTTTTCAGACTTTTCACCAGTAATTCATCTTTTTGTAGTTTTTTTCCTTTTACATCTTTGCATATTTGTAGTTTGGGGATTGATGCCAGCTCCTTTAATTCAATTTGTTTTTGTTTTTTTTTGTTGTTTTGTATCCTTGCAATTTATTGTACACGGCTTTAACATGTCCAATGTATATTTCTACACTTTTAAAGTTAATACTAATAAATTTAGAAGAAATGGAAAACTAAAAGAACAACAACAAAATGCATAACACAGAAGAACACGAGTAAAAACAGAACTGGCAGAAATCTGTTTCCAAATTAAAATGCGTTAACAATAAACTCTTAAAACTAAACGAAACCTAAAAGTTTTCTGAGCTCATGGGTTTGAAATAAACTCTAAAAACGATATGAAATCTAAATAAAGCGCCTGGTCTGGCATTAGCCTGTTAGCTAAGCTAGTCTAATGGATATCCCACGGTTACAGTTGCGCATGCGCAAAAACAAGACGTGTTCGATTAATTTCATTTTATCTACTTCCATTTCCAACGACAACTAATTGAACTAGTTTCCTCGTTTATATTTTGTATCTACCACCGACTATAACCTCCTAATCCAACGAAACTTTTCATCTTTGCGTTCACTTTTAACAACGTCTACCGTACCGGAAGTAGCAACGAATGTCTTTACGCATGCGCATTAGTTTCTACAAAACACGTCTGTCTTGTGCGTATATATATATATTATTTTATTAGAAAATAAAAATAAAAAAAGAGTACCAGTCTGATTAGCTTGTTAGTTAACCTGCTCACAGCTGGTGTCAGCCTCTTGTTAGGCTAACGGCAGGCTAAGAGCCAAACATGCTAACGAGCCGCTCCGGTCAAACTCACTCTTCGATCCTGGGCTTGCTTTTCTTTATGAAACTTCTCTTCAGCTTCTTCCGGTCCTTGGTGTAGTTGAACTTATTTCTATTTTTGGCCTGCTTGGTTTTCGGCATTTTAAAACGTTTTTATTCTTTCTACAGATTACTCGCGTGCTACACAGAACAGACAACGTGCAGCTGCAAACAGGAAGCACACGTGCTGGAGACTATGTCACGTGAGGTTGTAAACCCCGCCCCCTTTCTCACATTATATTCACTGTTTCCAGGCGAAATATTAAAATACTGCGTGCAAAGAACATGAAAAAAACAATAATTAATCGAAAACAAAAATAAAACTTGGCAACGAAATTAAAAGTTACCTTTATTTGTAAGTTAAAGGTTTAAGGCACAAACAAAAATTAATAATTGTTGTATCTTTAAATATTCAAGTTCAAGTTTCTTTATTGTCATTCGCATCATATGTGGTACATGAGGTGGAACGAAATTGTGTACTCAAGGTCCCAGTTACACCGAAAACTAGCAAAAATATAAAACATAGACATAGACATAAAAAAGCAAACAAACTAACATAGACAGCCAAAAGGGAAATAGAAAACATGTGAAACTCAGATTTTACTAACTTTATTTATCACTTTTGAGGCTAAACACTTAAAACAAGAGACTTGAACTAAAAAAACTTTGCAAAATCTGTAAATTATGCCAGAAAATCAACTGTATTTAGTTTGTAAAACATTTAACCTCAGTTTGACTTCAGCAAAGTTTAAAATGAACATACATATTTTAAATAAATCAAATGTAATTGAAACTTTGTCTTTTTTCTTACTGGATGGACGGACGGACGGACGGACGGACGGACGGACGGACGGATGGATGGATGGATGGATGGATGGATGGACGGATGGATGGACGGACGGATGGATGGACGGATGGACGGACGGATGGATGGATGGATGGATGGATGGACGGAAGGACGGATGGATGGATGGACGGACGGATGGATGGACGGATGGACGGACGGATGGATGGATGAATGGATGGATGGACGGACGGACGGATGGACGGACGGACGGACGGATGGATGGATGGATGTGTCAAGGGAATTTTTGTAAAAGTTTTTGGATGTTTATCACTAACAAATAATAAAATAAATTGGCTCCCAAGTAAGTAAGATAATAAGAAGTTATTTTTATCCAAAAGGATGGATGGATGAATGATTGATGGATGAATGATGGATGAATGATTGATGGATGAATGATGGATGAATTATGGATGAATGATGGATGATTGATCATTTAACATGTTTGTTGTTTTGATATTTTTAAAACAATTTTTTTCAGTTTAATTAAACTCATTCTGATCGATCTCAGTACAGAACTGATGGATGGTGGACCTCAACTGGATCACACCTGGATCACACCTGGATCACATGTGGCCCACAGCTGGAGCCGGTGTGCAGCAGCTGCTCCGGTCCTCCAGGTGTCAGCCTGAGTCACATAATGTTTCAGTTTTCAGACGTCTTGGACCAAACTTTCTCTAAAAGCTTCATTTTTGTTTCTGCTCTCGTTTAGAACTCAGACTAAAATCATTTGTTTAAAATATTTTGATATTTTAAACAAATTATTTTAATACAAATATTTTGATATTTTAAACAAATTATTTTAATATAAATATTTTGATATTTTAAACAAATGATTTTAATATAAATATTTTGATATTTTAAACAA